ATCTTAATATACACTGATACTTACATGTGAGTTGTTGTCTGTCACGTTGTCTTTTAATTCAATTAATTGCTTTCATTTACAATGCCCACAGCATACACTTATGTCTCTAAAATATGTCGTGAACAGAAAAATGTATTTCAAGATTTTTTCATGTTCCATGCCCCCTTTTCATTTACTTCAGTCTTAGAATCTGTCATGCATCAAAGATGGTAAAAACCTTCTTTCTAATGCAAGTTTTTTGTTTACACATTCTTTGATTTGCCTTGTGAAGACAACCTAGTACAAGTTTTTGTATAACATAAACTACTTTGAAAGTTTTGAAAAACATCTCAAATAGAGGTATGTAACAGGTACTTGGGCAACTGAAAGGAAATACTTGACATTCATAGGAATTGATAAAACATTGATCAAAGTTTTAAAGCAGAAATACTGTTTGGAGAATTTGCTGTTCTATATTGTCCTTGATATTATTTAACCATGAATATTTTGTTTTCTTTTTGCAATAGATTTTATAAATGATGAATGAAAATAATTCATGCTGTTAAGTTGCAAGTTAGAAAAAAATCTTGAATGAGAGAGAAAATTCATTGTAGTGTAGGGTAAGAAATTAAAAGTTGGCATGCTTCTTTTCAGGATTTAAAAAGGTTGAAGAAGTTACATCAGAGTTCCCTTGGCATGTTTCTTCATCTGTTTCACTTAAGGAGGAATCTGTTGGCCAAAGGCCCACCTTTATCCAGCCTATTTCAAGCTGCAGGGTATGCAGCGGGGAATCAGTCAGATTTCAAGCTAGAGTCTCTGGCAGGCCCAAACCAAAAATCCAGTGGTTTCATAATCAACAACTCATGTTGCCAAAAAAAGACTTAGTTTTCCACTTTGATGAGTCTACAGGCACAGCTATACTCATAATAGTAGATGCTTTCTTAGAGCATGCTGGCCAATACTCTTGCAATGCAAGAAATAGTGCTGGAGAAACAACTTGTACAGCTACACTTACAGTGACTGCAGAAGGTAAAGCCCCATTTTTACTTCAAAGGGATTCAATTTGTTGCATACCACACCATGCTGTTACTAATTTTTTCCTTGTTTCACACCTTTTCATTCCCACCTAACTTTAATAGTACCCTCAGTACCTCAGTAACCCAGCCACTCTCATTTATCATTTCTTGTCTTTTAAGCTGTAACATTTGGAAATTTTCAAGTTTGTATCTCAATATAGGTCAAAGAATAGAAATGTTTAATGAAAGCATTCAGGATTTTAAAACAAATGGTTTAGTGATCTTTATAGCAGTGACTGAGATATTTTGCACTATTCTGTAGGAAAAAAAAAAATATAAAAAAGAAAATACCTACTTTAAAAGTACCATAAGTTTCCAATACTAAAATGGACCACTTTAGTGAAAGAAAAGACAAGTACCAAGTGAGCATCAACTGCATGACTAGCTTAGGCATCACTTGTCATTCATACATGTGAATGGATAACTTCTGTGTCAACAGAGTAATATGTCTGGCATGCTCTGTTTTCAAATGAAGATCATTCATTTTCATCCTCCATGCTGTTTGATTTTGTTCAGAGCATGGCCCAGTAAAGTTCTTTAGATACTAATGTTGTTGTTTTTGTTACTTGATTACACAGTGCAAGCCCTAGATAGGCAAAGTTCTGGGAAAGATGTAAAAGAGTCTATCCGGTCACAGGCTATATCAGAACTTCATGTTTCTCCTTTCACAAAGAAGAACATTGAAACTTATCAAAAAGAATTTAAATCAGTGCAACAACCACCACAGGAATTGCATGTACAGGTTTTTGAAACTGTATCAGAAAGTTTGACCATGAAGGCTACATCAGTTGAAGAAATTAAAGCAGTGCACACATCAGTCCTCTCCCAAACATCTCAGAGCACCAAAATCTCTATGACGACCTCTCAGGAAAAGAAAGATGTCCCTCCAAAGATTCTCTTGCAACTCAGAGACCTAACTGTGAAATGTGGTGACACTGCTCAGTTCATATGTGCTTTAGAAAATGAATTCTTTGACTTTCTTTGGGCCCATGAAGGTGAAAAGATAGAATTGTCTGAAAAATTGAAGATATCGCAAAATGGAAATGTTCTTCTGCTCACAATCCTAAATGCTCAGCTCACAGATCAAGGACTGTACAGTTGTACTGTGTATAATAACTATGGAGGGACAACAACTTCTGCAATACTAACAGTCAAAGGTGGATATCTGACTTTTAACATTATCACTTTTTGCAGCTTCATTATAACTGCCTAGAGCTCACTCATATTACCTTTATTATCAGTATTTAATTGAGAAAGCTCTAGTAATAATTCTCTGGGTTTTTTCCTCCACATTTACAGCTCTATTCATAAGTGACATGAGCAGTATTGGGAAGTTGGTACTGTAACTTTGAGCTTCTTCCCAAAATGTCACAGATGTCTCAGGCTTTTTATTCCTCATATCCTTTGTGACATGCAGTGAGATGTAAAGTAAAACAGGCTTGCAGGAATTTTTATATTTTGTTAATTCCTGAAGCAAGAGTTTAAGGAAGAAAAGAACGTCAGATGAAATTTCGAATTAGATACCAGGTCATTTCAAACTCCAGAATGTTTCCAACAAATCCAAGATTGCAATTCCAAAGCTAGCAGTGTAAGTTAATGTTCTTTAAAGGATTAATCGGTGCAAGTATTGCATTACTGCAATAATGAACTGTCCTCTACCTTTCACCCTTCATATAAATATATAAGTGTTTACTTTTTGCTTAAACTCCTTCTATCTCTTCCTGACATCCATGTATTAAAATGTTAGTAGTGTTACCACTAGTGAAGATCCAAAAATGTATTATCACCACAGGTGATAGTGTTTCTGATGAGTTCAAAGGAATCAAGACCAGAAAATTAAGATGAATAATGAGAAAGGCATTGACCCTGTTGATTTGGCTCTTAATTATTGAAATTTCTTTCTTCACTATAGAGCTGTCAAAAGCACTTTACATACTGCTGCTACATTCCAAATTAAGGCTCTAAATTAGAAGCAAAGATGTGGGTTTTTTTCGGTCATTGTGGATCAAGACTTGGTCACGTGAAAAACCCACAGACTTAACTAGTACCTAGAATTAGCCTAACAGGAATAGAGCTCTTAAATGTGCACTCATGTTTAATAGCACTGTTTTAGCACTAATATACAGCATATTCTGTCAATACTAATTACTGGGTTTTCTCCCCATAAGTATAAGGATTTTTTTTTAATTCCTGCAAAACATTTGACCTAATCCTTTTCCTAACTTTATTCTTACCTAGCAAAAGAAGCACAAGCCAAAGCAGTAACAAAAATTACTCTTGAATCAGATACTAAAAGCTTTAAAGCAGCCAAAGATTGTCAGTTTAAAGCATCTGAAGTTAAGCAAGAATCTTCAAAGAAAACCTCCAGCTTGTTTATATCCACATCCCAAAGACCACATGAAACTGAAAAGCAAAGAAACAGAGTTTACTATCCTGATGTTGTGCCCTGTGAAGACGTCACAGAAACTGACGCCAAAGCACCAGAGTTTCTTGAAACTCTGCCTTCAGAAACTACTGTAAAAGAAGGAGATGATGTGTTTCTCTTTTGCATAATGAAAGGTGTGCCTACACCTTGCATAGTCTGGCTGTGCAACCAGCTAATAGTTGAGGAGTCTGCACTGTGTTCCATAAAACATGATGGGCCACTGTGCAGTTTAAGATTGTTGAAGGTTGGTCAGGACCACGAGGGTATATACAAGTGCAGAATAGTTAACCCTGCAGGACAAGCCGAGTGCAGCACCCATCTGAAAGTGACAGGTTGGCAACTGCATGTTCCTTCCAAGTATCAATTCCTCATGCATAGCATCATAATTGCATTCCACTATATTCATTGCCTAGGAGATGATAAAGAACGAGAAGTATCTCATTAGTCTGTGGATTGTTGAATGTTTTCTTCAGGGATTTACAGCATGATAAAGGCATGTTGTTTTAGAAACTTTTCCCCACCCTGCAAAAAGAAAGCAAATCTTATAGAAAAATGTACATTGCAAACAAGTTTGAAAATATTTGATTATTCTCAAAATTTATCAAGTGTTTGAATTGTTTGGCATGCATTTATGTGTGTGTATGTACATGTGGATTTATGTCTATTTGCAAAACAGTTTTTACCATATGCTATATAAAGTGCTGATTGGAACATTTAACAACTATAGCTCAAAAATCTTTGTCTTTTTTTATTCTAGCTGCTGAAAAAATTGTTCATGAGAAGCTAGAAGAAGAGGTTGAAATGGAAGTGAAAGGTACAATCACCAATGAGAATAATTAGTACCAATAATTATTAATGTTGTGAAACGATTTTATCAGCTTCCATGACGGGGAAAGACATACTTTAAAGCATATTGGAACATGTTGCATGTTTGTTTTGATATGCAAAGGGTTACCTGCATTATAAAGTTATTTAAGTTTTAAAATATGTTTAAAACTTCAAATCTATAATTGTGCAGCCATATTTTTAACTTTTACTTCATGCTTTGCAGCTGTCCACAGAGCTCTTATATGTTCAATTTCCTTTTGAATGCATGGAATAGTTTACTTGAGAAGGAAGTTATAGAAATCTTAATTGTATTACTTTTAAACAAGTTAGCAGCCTAACATTAATTGATTCAATGGACACTATTGGATGGATAGATGAAGTATACTAGACAGCATTCGTTGTTTAGGTTATGTGAAAGCTACACATTCCCATTGATTCCTTGCACTTTTTTTTACATACATTAATTCATCATTATACATCTCTTACCCTGGCTTGCAGATAGCATACGTGGTTCATGTTGCTTGCTTTTTCCCCCCGTGCATAACACTGTGAAGTTAGTGGCTGTATTAGTTCGAATAAACGCCTTCTCATTTCATGTTACTTACTTTTAAAAAAAAATATATTTCAAACTATTTTTCTTCAATTGTTTGAACATAACTACAAACAGAGGGGTCAGAAAGGGCGTTTATTCTACTGTCTGCAAGTCAGGTAAGATTTTCTTCTTTGCCACCCAAAGACACACAGCTTTTCCAGGCAACAAAAACATACACGCAGAAGAACATGTTATTTTGAAATTCTTTTTTTGCTTGTTCAAGAAGAAATTTCCTCAGTCTGAAGAAAGAACAGACAACGACCGATTTTCGTGTCAATCTTTAAAACAGAGCAAGGCGTTGCGTTTATTCGAACAAATATGGTGAGTGAATTACTTTTTTTTCCTGGGTGTGTGATGAAATCTGTTGCATGCCCATTTTTTATTTTTATATTCATATATTTGTACTTTTTTACAACCAGGTGGTAGGCAGAGCGTGACATGTGGTAACCCAGTCTCATTCTCTTGCAGAGCAGCACGGCGTGGAGGACTTCGAGGGATGCGGCACAGCGTCAGTTCTGGCTTGCCCCCAGAACCGTAAACCCATCTTCACACAGGGACTGAAGTGTAGGTCTGTCTTGGAGGGGGACCCGGCATTCTTCCTGTGCAAGCTGGTGGCATGCCCAGCACCACACATGGCCTGGTTCCACAACAACCGGCCCGTCCTCCAGGACTGCCGCAAGGTGATTCGCACCGAGAGCACGGAGCACACGCACTGCGCCAGCCTGGAGCTGCGGGACGTGCGGGAGCGCGACGCGGGCAGCTACAGGGTATTTGCCATTAACAGTGAGGGCTCAGCCGAGTCCACTGCCTCACTGCTGGTGGCTCGCAGAGGGGAGCGGCGGGGCTCGGGTCTCGCCGGGAAGGCAGAGTGGATGCGGCAGAGCTGGGAGTGCCTGCTGCAGCAGCGGCGGGAGGACCGGCTGCGGGTGGTGCTCCGCTGCACTGGCTCACCCTTCGACAAGGGGCAGGAGGCTGAGCCCGGGCACCTCTCACCGGCCCGGGCCATGGTACGGACCATCCGCTTCCAGAGCCTGCCGCTGGCTGGGCCCTGCCGCCCAGGGCTGGCGCACGGCAGGGAGCACAGGGGCACGGTGGCTAATGCTGAGGAGCTGCTGGATGAGGAGACTCGCTGGAAGCTGCAGAAGCTGCGGGAAGCAAAGAGGGCGGCACTGAAAAAGAAGCAGGAATCCCTCATGTCCGCGCCCCGGGAGGGCCCTCCTGGGAAGCCGAGCCCACTTAAGGTGGCTGCTAAAATGGTTGGCTCCAAGCCCCTCACAGTGCAGGTAGTGAAGCAATACTCCAGGCCCAAGGCCCTGGGGGAGAGATGGCAGGTGCCAGGTGGGCTCCTGGAGCCCTGCCCACCCCTCTTTGTACAGCAGATCAAGCCCCAGGAAACTGTTGAGGGGCAAAGATGCACTTTCTCCTGCCTCTTCCATGGCCGCCCACAGCCCACCGTCACTTGGTACAACAACGACAAGCCCGTGGGGCGCATCCAGGGCACTGCTGTTCACACCACCGGGTGCTGCTCCACACTGACCTTCCCATCTGTGCTCCCACAGCACGGTGGCACTGTCACCTGTGTGATCTTCAACCCACTGGGCACGGTCAGCAGCTCAGCTGGACTCCATGTGAGGCAGCAAATGCCAGCCTATATGTACATGAAGAAGGAAAAGGAGGAAATGAAAGTGGAGGAGAAGAAAGAGGAGGAGAAGATGAAGGAGGAAGAAAGGGAGAAAGAGAAGAAGGAAGAGGAGAAAGTAAAGGAGGAGGTGGAAGAAGTTGGTCTGGCCTTTGCAGCAGAGAAGGGACTGCCAAATGCAGTTCCAGACTCAGACTTGCTGTCGTTGCCTGTGGAAATCAAAATCACTGCTCCCACTCCAACGCCAGAGCAAGACACGGAGATGAAGGAGACGCCACGACTCTCTCCAGAGCGGGCTGCTTCCACCATAAGGCACAAATTTAAGTTTTCATTTGATATGGGAAATGAACCACCCCAAATTGTGACAGAAGCCCCAGCAAATATTCATTGCCATGAAGGAGAGGAAGTGGTGCTGGAGTGTGCTGTGTCTGGACAGCCCCCACCAGTTGTGAGCTGGTCCTTGAACAGCCAGAGCCTGTCTCCTAGTGGGAGACTGAGGTTTGAAGAAGGCAAGAATGGCATATACCGCTTACACCTTCAAGAAGTCTCTGTCACAGACGCTGGGCGGTATTGTTGTGTGGCCACAAATGTGGCTGGAACAGCACAGACTGCCTCTGAGCTGACAGTGCAGCCCAGGGCACCCAAGCTGTATAGCAAGGGTGGAGGCACTGAGGAACTGCCTTCCATGGACCATGTTCTGCACCTCCAAGGCCTCAGCATACTTGGGAAGAATGAAGAGGAAAAAATTACATGTCCCAAGGAGGAGGAAGCTCACCTACCTTGGTCCCTGAGGTTGTCTCCACCTCCTGGTGAGCAGTTGGAAGATTGTGAGGAAACACCTCACATCAGGGAAAGTGAGATGGAGGAAACAATGGTTCTGGATATCAAAGAAGTTTATGCAAGGCGAGAAAGGGGCAATGCAGAAGAACGGGTGAGTTGTACAGATGGTATTTCTGAAATGAGGCAGCACAGGGGAAAAGCTGTCTCTGAGGAACACAGCTTTGGAATTGATACCACTGAATTGCACCCTACCATATCCAGGGAAGGATGTGAACTGGTGGCCAAGGACTCAGGTCGCTTCTCTGAGGAGCTGGAGCCTGAAGAAGGCAAGGTGCTACCACATACAGATACTCTGTCCTGGGACATCTTGAAGTCACCATTTATGGAAATGCAAGGGCAAACATGTGCCCCTGAGCAGTCTGCTCTGGCAGGGGAGTGTAAGGATTTATCATTTATGGAGGTGCAAGGGCAAACACGTGCCTCTGAGCAGTCTGCTGTGGCAGGGGAGTGGAAGGATTTATCATTTACGGAAGAGCAAGAACAAACACATGCCCCTGAGCAGTTTGCTCTGGCCAGAGAAGGTAAGGATTTATCATTTATGGAAGAGCAAGAACAAACACATGCCCCTGAGCAGTCTGCTCTGGCAGGGGAGTGTAAGGATTCATTGTTTATGGAAGAGCAAGGGCAAGCACATGCCCCTGAGCAGTCTGCTTTGGCAGGGGAGTGTAAGGTTTCACAATTTTTCATTCCTGTATCACCTGTGGTGCAAGACAGAAGTGATGTCTGCACGGAGTGTGATGCCCCTGCCTGGGAGGCAGTGACTCCTGATGTGCCTCTTGTGGAAGAGCCAAGTGTGCCCCACCTGCAGGACCACATTGCAAGCACCTCCACAAAGGAGGAGTTTGGCTTTTATGAATTCTATGCAGGAGAGCAACAGGAGGAACTGGACAAGGAACAAGAGACATCAGTTACAATTGAACAGGACATTAAAGCTGATGATAATCTTTGTAAAGAAGAAGTGATTGCTGATGGTGATGCCACACACTGGGAAATACAAAGTGACAGGCAAATGCTGCAAAAAATGGAGTCTGATGCATGCAGGCCTTCTTTGGATCTAATCCCCACGCCTCCTGGCATAGAAAACTCAGGTCAGGTTTTTACTGAGGAAACTGAAGTTCATCTGGAAGAAGGGCATTTCAGAGAGCAGGTGTTGCCACCTGAGCCTAACACTGAGATAGTGTTTGATCTGAAGAAGTTTGCAGAGTCTTTCCCAGCTGAAGAGACTGTGTACACAGAAAAGGCACAAACCTCCATAGCACTGGAAAGTGTGGAGATCATCACCGGGATCATCTCCCCTGTGCACCAATGTGATGCGCATGAGGAAGAGATGTCTCTGAGTGAGGAGCTGCGTCACAGCTACAGGATGCAGCATGAGGAGGTTGATGCCCAGGAAGAGGAACAGCCAAGAGAAATCACAACAGCTGATTTGCAAACTCCTAATGGGGACCTTGGCAGTGTAATGATATCTGCTGAAGAGGGACATTCTGCTGAAGAAGTTCAGGAGTCGAAGATGAGTGTCTGTAGAGAGGACTCACTTCAGGAAAAAATTAATGAATTTCTAGTGGAGCCCACACCAGGTTTCCAAAGAGAAGTACAAGAAACACATGTGTGGGAAAGTGGGGAACGACTGGAGACTGCAGACTCCCAGAGTGACAGCTTCATTATGGACTTGAAAAAAGCTGCACATGAAAAGAAACCCCAGGCTGGGCACCAGGCTGAGAAAGATGATGCTCCTGGGACAGAAAAGGTCTTTGAGCCAGGGATGAGCAGCTTCACCTGTGAGATGGAAAACACAGATTCCCCTGAGGAGGTGCTCAGAGACATCCAACAGGAACCAATCACAACCAAGGGCTTCTCTTTTGGGAATCTCATACTTGGGTTAGTAATGGATGATCCTGTGGCACAGAAGGAGCAAAGGAAGGAGTCTTGGGACGAGAAGAGGACTCCCACTGATGAAGCCTCTGAGAATAGCCTGGGTGGAGAAGAAATATGGGAGGATACTTCTACAGGCCCAGAGCCCAGTGCTGTTCAAATCTCAGAGCTGGAGCCTGATTTGTCCCTGGCCAATTATTTAAGATCCACCGGGATATATGAAACTCCAAGTCTCAAAGGCACAGTTCAGAAGGAGCAGCAAGAAACTATAACTTCGCTGGAAGTGGAGGAGGTTACTTTCAGCATGGTTTACGATTATTACAACAACCATCAGGAACTTGCCCGGCCCTTCTCTCCCGAGTCAGAAATGTCTATAGAGCTGGAGAGTGGGAGCAGAGAGGAGTCACCTGATTCAGACCGCTTCTACACACCTCCCTCCTCTGTGGAAATCTTTGAAACTGCTTCATCAGCATCCTACCACACGCCACTCAGCTCACCTGAGCGCTACTCCACACCATCTGAGGGCTCAGGGTACAGCACACCACCTGAGCGCTACTCCACACCGTCCGAGGGCTCAGTGTACAGCATGGCTCCTGAGCACTACTCCACACCTTTCGAGAGTTCAAAATGCAACACACCCTCAGAGCAATATTTCACACCCTTTGAGGGACCCTACTCTACATCAGGGGACAGCACGCCACCAGAACGCTACCGGACACCCACTGGGGAGTACATGGATGCCCTGACCATACTGCCCTTCTGTGAAAGGAGGCATCAGCCTCCAGACCAGCCCCAGGCAAATGGGTTTATGACCCCCTGTGAAGCCCTGGAGCCGTCAGGCAGGGACAGGCCACCAGCATTCCTCAAGGCATTGAGCAGGAGGAGGTTGTATGAGGGCAGCACATTGACATTTGTGGTTGAGGTGGTGGGTGTGCCCAAGCCAGGAGTGAAATGGTATCATAATAAGTCTCTGATGGAGCTGGATGAGAGAGTACAAATAGAGAAGGATGGGAACAAATATGTTCTGGAAATCACTAATGTCCAGAAAGCCGATGAAGGACAGTATCTGTGCCATGCAGTGAACATTGTTGGGGAAGCTAAAAGTATTGCAGAGGTGGAAGTTTTGCCTGAAGATGGACGGTCGCTGGCACTGCCACCCCCTGTCACCCACCAGCATGTTATACACTTCGACATGGAGCAAAACACATCTTCGAGGTCCCCTTCCCCACAGGAAATCCTCCTGGAAGTGGAGCTCGATGAAAATGAAGTGAAAGAGTTTGAGAAGCAGGTCAAAATCATAACCAGTCCTGAGTTTAGCCCAGACAAGAAGAGCATGGTGGTTTCCCTAGATGTACTTCCACTTGCCTTGTTAGAACAAGCTGCAGGCTTGGCAGCAGGAGAGAATGAGGATGTAAAGATTGATTTCCAAGTAACTGAAATGCCTCCACGCTTTGCTGTGCCCATTACAGATATCAAGGTGACAGAAGGCTTGGATGCAGTTTTTGAGTGTGTTGTAACAGGCACTCCTCTCCCAGTTGTTCAGTGGTTCAGAGGTGACACGTGTGTGACACCTGGCACAGGGAAGTATGTTGTGAGTCAGAAGGAGGGACTTCACAGTCTGAAGGTCCAAACTGTAGGATCTTCTGATAGTGGCTTGTATTGCTGTCAGGCAATGAATAGGCTGGGAGAAGCAACGTGCAAAGGCTCCCTTGTGGTCATGGCTCAGCAGGAAGCAAGTGCAGTGAGCAGTGAGACAGTCGCAGGCTGTGAACCACACAGTTCCCAGAAGTGTGACTTACTTTTAAGCAAGACTGTGAGCCCAGGTGACCAGTCAGAAATAGAGCTGGAATTTGAGTTTGAGCCGCACAGAGATGACTCAGAAAAAGCGATCCAACTGCTAGCAGTGACTCGAGAAGAGCAGGAAGTGGAAGGGGAGAAGCATGTCAACATTAGTTTTGATGTGTTTGCAGAGCCATCCGAAGAGGAACGGGTTGAGTTTAGGGCAGAGGACTCGGAGAGCTGCAGTTTTGAGTTCCAGGTCACAGAAGCTCCTCCCAGATTTGTGAGGCTTATTTCTGACTACAGTACATTTGTAGGTGCCTCAGTGTGCTTCCAGTGTCTCGTGAGTGGTTCTCCCCGTCCAAGTGTCTGCTGGTACAAGGATGGGGTGTTGTTGGAAGGGGATAGGTACTGTGCGCAGGAAGAGCAGAACGGCTTGCACAGTCTTACTATTGAAGACCTGGTGCAAAGTGACAGTGGACAGTACAAATGTGTAGCTACTAATAGGGCAGGAACTGCTGAGACTTCTGCTGTGTTAACATTATACTAAATTTCATAATTTAGTATAATACTATAATTTATAATACTATAATTTATTTCAGAGTCTGTCTTGAAATACTAAGTGTTTTCATGATGTTCACTGCAGGTAAAAATGCAGCACTCATTTTAGGGGCATTGTTTTCATCTCTTTAAAGGATGAAAACCACTCTGTGGGCATATTTGTGTTTCACTTAGATTTGCCTTCTTTGGGGAATTTAAGTGGGATTTAATCTATGCATAGATTTTGTGCACACTTTCTGCACTGAGGGATATTTCAGGCTCCTTCTATGCTCTTTGCTCATTCTTGTAAAGATATTTTAATTGACCCTCATTTGCGTAGGACTGATTTTTTTGTATCATGTACATATACCTATGTGTCTGCAACAGTGCAATCACTATTGTTTTTAGGCTAGGAATCACCTGACAATGTAGACACTACCTTTTTCTTGTAACCTAGAGGTATGGAACACTAACGTATGCTTGCTGTTTAGTTTGGGTATAGTTCTGTTAAAGAATTCCTTAAATTGTTATTCCCCCTTCTCACAATGTTGTGTCAGAACATGATTCAAATCCTGTTTATGGTTTCTATCACTGCAAAATTCTTACATCTATGGGCCTCTTTCTGCTGACTCTAATTACTAATTAAATAAGGAATTAAATGCCTTGTTTAAGTCAATGAAATTATGCTGTTGCAAAGAAAAGCAGAGCAATGGGAAGAAAAATGAAAAAATTGCATTAGTAGAGACTGGACAGGATTTTCTTCACTATTACCAAGTAATAAACATGAAAGCATATTTTGTACTGTATTTTTAGAAGTTAAAGGGAAGGGAGAAAGGGAGCATAATAATAAAAAATCAATTATGTTAGTGTAAATTCATTAAAATAATTTTGGTTGTCCCTGTATTCCAGTGTCATTAGTGAAAAATGCATAGTAGTAAAAAAGTAAGATACTTTTATGCGGTATTCTTGTTTCACATTAGAACTACATCTCTACGTATTCCTTTTTTATTTCTCTTTTTATTATTAAGAACATTTAAGTGTGCTATGTATTGAGACAACCAGAAATAAGGGGAATGTATTCAGTTGTTATGTGTAGCATTTTCTCAGCACAGAGAATTTTTACATTAATGTTTTCAATATGAATATGTATTTTTATATTTAAAGTAATGCTAATATTTAGGAAGAATCAGAAGTAGCTGACATAATTAAATCAGAATTAAATCTATCTTACATAAACAATGATAAATTGATTAAGAAAATCTGTTAAACAGAGAAAAGTTATTAATTAATGTTTCTCAGAAACTAAATGACTCTCTAATGCACATACAAGCTTTCCAGTCACCTATATGTCAAGGTGAGACCTTGAGTTCAAGATCCCTAAGCAAAAATTAGTTTTACTTAATTTACCTGTTAATGAGATTCTTCCAGTTATTTACAAATTGCTCTCAGTTGCCTTGCAAACAGCTTTAAGCAGAGTGGTGATTTTAAGGATAAAACCTATTCCTATAGTATGTTCAGCTATGTTCATACAATTTCTTATTTCTGAGTTTGATGTGTCCTCACAATGAGACCACCGTGTCTCAAAAAATCTGTTATTTTCTAAGACTATCCCATCACTCAGCTGGGACAGTAATTTTTGTTCAAAATATTCACCTTGTCCAGTTGTGTTGCCTGATATGAATTCAAGGCCTGAGTAGCAAGTTCTAATGACTCAGTACCCAGGTGAAATGACTGAAGTGTTTAGGCTAGTGCAAACGTGTCACTTCAGTGTCTTCTCAGTCATAACCCCTTGATAAATATTTAAGATTTATTTGTTAAAAGGCAGTTGTGAAAGCTAATTGTGCTTTCTGATAGGTGATGGTGGTAGGAAAGAGAAGCATGACCGTCTGACCCAATGTTGTGCTGGGAAAGAATTACTCCATGATGTGTCCTTAATCCATTCCTTGTGTAGATGTGTAGCACTAACTGATTCATTAGACAGCAGAGGTCCTTAGGGAGGTTGGCATGAATTGTTTGATGTTCTATGTCAGCTGTGACACGAGGGGTCTTTTAGTTCCAAAGTCAAAAGGGTCAGAGGCCCTTTGATTAGGTCCTGCGCAATTGTGAAGTGTGTTTATTTTGCATGTAAATCTGAATATTTTTAGCAAAAAGAGGCCCATAACTTGGTTTTGGAGCCATAAGCCACACAGGTCCAAGTTCATATTCACATCTGAAATATATGGCCAAGCATCTACCCATGTAGTGATGTTTGTGATTTATGTAAATTTATAAGTCTTGGTTTAAGTTTTGTACATTAGCCAGGAGCACCTGGTTCACCTAAACTACAATTATTAAATCTGGAGTAATCCTAGGTTTGAATGAACTTAGTCTGGAGCAACTGGTATAGCTTGACTATCTTTTTTCAAAATTCTGTGTTTTCATCAAAAATCAAAAGCTCACAATTTTAATTTCAGATTTAATGTTGTCTTCATTTCTAAACAAGTATCTTAAAAAAAGAATTAAATATGTCTATTTGTCATCAATGTATATTGAATGTTAACATGTATGGTTAATTTGTGAAATAAACATGAAATTATTTAAGTCCATTGCTTCTTGCACTTTATTCATTTTACAAACATATCTAAAATATGAAGAAATATCTGTATAGTTCTTCTCTCATAAATATCCAAGAACACACAAAAATGCATTAATTTTTGCCATGCTCCTGTGTATAAAGCATTCTCCTTTGTTAACGTGAGTTTCACTCTGCAATTTCTTATTTTTTTTATTTATTAATTAATTTGTTTATTTTATTGGCCCAATTCTGCCACCCATTCTCAAATTTATTTGCACAATTTATTACTGTTTTAACAAGGTTGATAAGTAACACTGAAGGATTGCTTTAGTAGTTTTTTTTACTTAAGCATTTCTTCTCTGCAGTTAATAATTGTTTGAACTGTGCTATGTCATTTATGTCTTTTGTGGCAAGACTAATAATTACTAAAACAAATGAGAAAGAATTGGGTGACAGTCAGTTCTTTTTTATATTTGTTGTTGGATTGCAGCAAAAAGTCTTATCTCTCAAAAAGTTTTAAAATTGAAGACACTGTAATTGAGAAGCCTATCAAGGTTCACAATTACAGTGCCTAGAGACATTAATCCACTCATACTTTTACTCTTTCTTTTAAGCTCATACCTTTCCAGCATCAAATACTCTGGGTCTTGACTGAGCAAACTTGACTCAGTGAGGACAACTGCATTTGATTTCCAAAGGTTTTCCTTCCACCATGCTTTTCATTAATTGTTCCATTCCTGGAAATTTCATATTTCACTGATGTTTCTGTTGTCAAATATCTGCAGAGATGTTCTTTACCTCTGCTTCCTCTAATTTTGAAACTACTATTGAGTTAAAGTTGTCCAACGCATATATCTATTATTTCACAAAGGCAAGAAAACAAAAAAATCTTAGAAGTCTGTTCTCATTTTCTCTGACATTGTGAGAGTTTTAATATCCTGCATCTTGACAAGGAGGAGTTCAAAAGCAGAGATTTAAATCAATTATATTAAATCAACGGATTAAACTTGTGATGTTTGTAATAATGATGCTGTAAAGTTAAGGGTGTAATGACAAAACCAGGACAAAGCTGGTAGAGGTAGAGGTAATCTTTTGGTGTGCTAGACAAAAGATAGAGTTTAAAGAGATGAACTTTGCATCAGAAGAAAGGTTAGTGTGCTGAAAAGCTTGTGGGTTTGTTGGTTGGTTTGGGGGAGGGGGATGGGGATTCAATCCTAATTGTGTCATTCTGATTTTTTTTGTTGGTGTTTTGAATTAAATCAGGGTCTTAGCACTATTCTGCTGTACTTGTTTGCATAGGTGTACATACAAATATGTATGGCACATACCACTTTAATTGTATCTGTGAAATGCATCAATGTTGCTTGATTGTTACTTGCACAGTGCACTCTGGAGGAGTATGCCTAACCCATACTGTGATGTCAGGTTTAAAGACACCCGTCCTGATCAAGATAGGAAATTCTTAAGCAACCTGACAACACAGCATGTCTTACTAAGGTGTGGCATCAAGGCAACAACACAGACCTCCTGTTCATTGGTAGCTGCTGTATAGTATTAAGAAAGCCTCCAGCTACAGAAAAATAGTTGCCCTAACACTGTGTATTTCTATCTATGAGTGTTCTCATAAATATTCTAGTAAAACTAAACAATTTTTTTCCATACAGACATCACTAGGTCTCTTATTGTCTCTTCTGAGGAAGGAAGAAATGAAGGCTACAGCAGCGGCCTTCAGTTGCCTGATAGAGAGAAAACACTTGAATTTGAGCTTGGAAAACCAGTTTATTTCAGCAAAGCAAAGATGAAAATTGAGGATGAAGGCAAAGCCCCTGTTTTCCTCAAACAGGTCTCAGATGTTGAAGTCTGGCAGGGAGATGTAGCTAGGCTCTCTGTTACTGTTACTGGCAGCCCCACACCCAAAATCCAGTGGTTTCTCAACAGTACGAAGCTAACCCCATGCACAGACTGTAAGTTAGTATTTGCAGGCAATGACCACAGCCTCATCCTCCCATATGCAGGTGTGCAGGATGAGGGTGAGTATACATGCGTGGCCAGCAATGTACATGGTGAGACCAGCTGCAGCGCCCAGCTCCACGTGCGCCAGAGGAAGCCGGGATTCCCTTGCTTTGCCAGGGAGCCGGACAGCGTGCGGTGTGCACCAGGCTTCACGGCAGTCTTTGAGTACACAGTGGTGGGGAAGCCATGCCCCGACGTGCTGTGGTCCAAGGGGAGCGAGCAGCTCTTCTCTGATGCGCGTCACTCCATTGCTCACCGCCCTGATGGCTCGGGCTCTCTGACGGTGTGGGACTGTGTGGAGGAGGACACTGGGCTCTACACGTGCAGGGCCATGAGTGCCCTGGGTGAGGCCACGTGCTCTGCTGAGCTCCTTGTGCTGCCCGAGGAACGTGTTGTGTGCGGGCAGAGCCAGGCCTTGCAGCACTCTGCAGTGGCAGAGGACCAAAGCCCCCTTTTCTACGAGGAGGCTGGTGAGCTTCCTGCAATGGAAGGAGCGCTGAGTCTTGAGCCCATGAGGGAGCCTTCAACCCTCCTTCAGCTCCAGATGACCCAGGCAGTATACATGCTGCCCAGGGAGGACATCTTGCCTGGCCTGCCACCAACCTGTCTGGCAGCACAGAGTGTTGAAGAGATGTTCACCCAGGCAGCCACAATACAAGAGAGCAGTGGGCTTCTGGCAGAGCCTCTGCAAACCTTCCTTGCTGGCCCCCAGGGCGTGGTGCCTGCAGCAGTGATGGAGACACAACTGCCAGGGTGCCTTGGGATTGTAGCTGCACAGATACTCGTGCCCAAAGAGAAAATCATCCCTAAGGCAGCGGAGCAACTGGCTGCTCTGAAGACAGAGGCTTCCCAAACCCTTCTACAGGTGCCAAGCACCACTGAGAGCCATGCCATGGATGGTGATCAAATCCAAATCATTGAGGCCTTTCAGATAGCACAAGGTGAGCTGAAGGCTGAACCCAGGTTTCTCTCTGAGTCGGCCTTCACTGGGGGCCAAACTATCCCCCTGGAGAACATTTCTTTCCTGGAAACAGCAAAGGAAGATTTTGCTGCAAGAATACATGAGGGACAGGCTGTGAGATTTCCCTTGCTGCTGGAAGAAAAACAGTCCATGGGGGAAGAACATGTTGATCTTTCCAAAGACGGTGAGCTCACTGCTCTGGTTCCCAAGAGCTGCAGCTTAGACATAAAGTCTCAAATCAGAAATGCACTGAAAGCTGCAGTTGTAAGTGAGAAAAACCTCTTATTTTCAGAATGGTTGGCTGATAAGGAAGATGTTAAAGTACAGGCAATAAACATCACCAAGGAGAATACACATACCTTGTGCACGTATGTTGTGACCACAGGAAAATGCAGTCCCATAGAAATCCAAGTCTCCTTGGGAGAAGTCAACATTCAGACAGCTGACCAGAAAACAGTCTTGAAGGAAGTTTTCTATTCCTTTCTTTGTGAAGATAAATGTTCCCTGACTGGTGAAAAATCTAAAGCACTGCCATTCTCTGCCAGTACAATTCTCTCAGGAAAATCCTGTGACGAAATCTTTGAGCTGGAGCCCCAGCAGGCTGAGAGGACTATGGAGCAAGAAATACCACTGGAACACTGTTTGTCTGCACAAGTTATCAACACTGTGACTGAGCATGGTCAAATCAAGGATGTGGGTGCAGCTGTAGCCACTGCTGATGCAGCCTCTGCAGATGTTCTTACTAAGACACCCACAGAAATACTGAAAATAAAAGAGAAAAGGGAAGAAAAGTGTGGGGAAGAGGTCAGAGAGGGTCTGGAAACTAGAGCTGGAAAGCAAGAGGATGAGCTGGGCAAAGAAAGTTATCCCATCATACACAGCAAACTGGTTGACACTGTTGTGGAGGAAGAGGAGAGTGTCAGGCTGGTGTCTGTCATTACAAATGTCAGAGAGGTGAACTGGTACTTTGAGGGTAAACTGGTCTCTTCAGGCAACAAATTCAAGTGTTTGCAAGATCAGGACACGTACACACTAGTAATAAGCAAAGTGTGCGGGGACATTCACCAAGGAGAGTACATCTGTGAGGCGCTGAATCAAGGTGGAAAAAGAACAACAGCAGCAAAACTCACAGTTGTTAAAAGAGGTTGGATTATGGGGATAAAATAATCCCTTTAATGCACTGCTCTACTAATGAACCGCTCCTTCTAAGTGTATCTTTGGACAGAGATACAATATTAATACCATCATGCCACTAATCAGAGGGCCCCCCTCTCTCTGGAATGATGGTGTCCTTTTATCACATTGCAAGGCCTCTCACTTTCATTACCCCAGTCTTTGGTCAGGAACTTTGTTGTTTCAATGCACTAGCATGGTCAGGACAAAGCTGTATCTCAATCCCTACCATTTATCCTATTCTTGCCTGAGAAGTGGACCTGCTCCTCCCATTTTTCTCACTGCTGCACCCTGTCTCACTCCTTAGAGTCATTGCACAAATTCACCACCATTTCTCATTCACACCATAATTTCTCACAACTCCAGGATAGGTTACTTTATATTTGTATCCTATTGCTATTGTGCATTGATATTTCACTTTGTTTTTCCAGTGTCACCACTGTTTCCTGATGTGATTATGCACTGTAAGACTGTCTGTCCACTGAGTCTAGTACTGCTTTCTTTTCTTACAGATATTTTTTTCTTTTACAGTCACTTTATGTGAATTGCAAGTATGTCACCTTTTTGGGTTTTTTTTCAGTCAGTCAATCACTTAATTTCAGAATGTCAGGAGGCAGAGTTTTGAGTTACTGTCTGCTTCTAATTTCAGTTGCACCGATCCTGAGGAGAAGGCTTGAACCCTTGGAAGTGGCTGTAAATCACGTGGCCAAGTTTACCTGTGAGGTAGAGATGGCTCCCAATGTCAAGTTCCAGTGGTACAAAGCTGGACGAGAGATATATGATGGGGACAAATACTCCATTCGCACCTCCAACTACCTCTCCACACTAGAGATCCCAAGGCCTCAAGTTGTTGACTGTGGGGAA